GCGGCCGACCACCTTCGACCATTGGACAATGCTCCCCGATGCCTGGGGAGCGTTGTCCTCCTGGCCCGCTGCAACTTCGTGCAGCTGGGCTCCACCTGCCCGTCCTCTCAATACCTGAGAGGGGGGAGAGGGGAGGAGGAGGGCCAGTTGGTCGATTTTTGGGGGGCCCTTTTTGGGCCCCCGTCGGGCCGGCCTGGGTTTAGCCTTGGGGGCTTGAGCCGGCTCCGGGACTCCTCTCGTGGCCCCAGCCACCAGGCCCGATTGGGCTTCAGGCCGGGGCGGCGGCGGCTGCCGCTTGTCCGCTTCCAGTGGCGGCCTCACCACTGGCTCTGGGAGGAGGCGCGACTCCAAGCCTTGAAGGCGGGCATTCACCATCCCGCCAACAGACTGTAGGAGTTCGCGCCTCATTTCCTCCAATGCGTTCCTCAGCACCTCCTCTAGGCCCGGCTGGGCCTGGGGTGCTTCGCTCGGAGTCGCAGTCGCATTGGATCGCTTTTGCGACTCCGAGTAGGCCTCCTTGAAGGCGCGCAGCTCGGCGCGGACTAGCTCGAGCTCTTTAGCGAGCCGAGCATTGTCCGCGCGGAGCTTGCGCAGTTCTTCACCGGCAGCGGTCTGTTGTTCCCTGCACGGCAGCGTCCTCGTTTAGACCGTGCTTGCCGGCCGATAAGAGGACCGGTAGGTGGGGTCGGAGTCGCCCGAGTCACTCTACAACCCCTTCGCCTCACTTCATACCGGCATACCTGGTATTAGTCACTGTTTTTATATTCTTACATGTTTATGATTTACGATATCACAATAAACAACTGACGATGTCGAGGAGCGCGGCAATGTAAACTGCGCGAATAGACTATACAACCTCACGCTGTGCCTTATTGCACGCGACTAAAAAATAACATTTAGCGGGGGAAAGTGGCGGCGGGGGACCGCAACCGATTACATCGGAAAAGACAGGCTTACGCGGTGGAATAAAACTCCTGGGTCAAGCCAGGTTAAGCGCTGCATCAGGAATCTCGTGACACAACTCCCAGGACCTAAGGGTGAAGTTAGAAACACGAAAGAGCCGCTAGAAACATGGAGGCTATTTTTCTCGGAAAGTGTTTGTACTCGGATTGTTCAGTGGACAAATAAAGAAATAAACCGCCTAAAATGTAACTAATTTTATTTTACGTTGATCTCAAAATATCTTATTTTTAAGAATTAAAAATTGTTTTATGTTTGTTTTTAGAATAAAAAGTTTTATGTTTGTTTTTCATGACTATAAGAAAAAAAAAATGAGACTTTTTTAAGGCTGTTATGAAAAGACTGATAGTCATTACAGTATTAAATAGTAAAAGCTAACAATTGGTATTTTTTGTTTTATTACATCCTATAGTTCCTGTAAAATAAAAAAAAATATAAACGGTTTTATAGAAAAATAACTAGGTAATAGGAGTCAAAGTTATGGTCTATCACACCGTGCGCGGGTATAGGTGTTAAAAAAATTTGGCGCGGGTACAGGAAGGTTAAATAAATAAATATATATATATATATATATATATATATATACACAAGAATATACTCCCACTTGGGAGACTGTATTCTCGGGCGGAAAAAAAAAAAAAAAATACCTTAGTGTGATAGTAGTAACGCTGGTTCGGGACATATCACATATCATGCCTTATATGTATTATATATGCAAGACGTGACTGGACAGCTGAAGCCGACAATTCGACGGAGTCGGGGGGCGGCTTCGGAATCCCTTACCCGGCAATTACATCATCTACATGTAAGTAATTAAGTCGTCTCATTGGAAATACAAGAACTCTAATTAAGTATACCGTATTAATTTATAATTATCATTAGCAAGAATTTATTTTAAGAATTGAAAACGGATAACTATAATACAGTTACAGGAGTTTGTTGGAAGAGTTGAGAATTGTGAATTATAGGGGCGTGATTAATATAAATCTGTTATCGTTTTATTTCTTTTTATTAATTGAGAACCATCTTTTTTTTTTATAATAGGCTGAAACTGTGGAGCGATGCACACATTAGCAAATGCATTCGACAAAGTCCCGAGATTCGGGCGACTGTTCGTCACCGTTCGCCGTGCCGCGGGCAGGCGTACCTCAGTAGAGCTGAGCGCGGTGAGCGGGCATGCGGCCGTGCTGCGCCGAGCGGGCTACTGGCGGCTTAGCGCCGGCACTACCCGCGTCCTTAGGTTGCACGCCCTTTACCGCGCAGTAGTATTTGCGACTACGTGTATCTATCTCTTACAGGAATGTGTGTACGCTTACCAGGTAAGGGTAAAAAAAAATATTATCGCACATTATTTCACAGAACATAAACCATTTTACCTCCGAACATACAGATCATCATATCCTAATGTTGCTTTACTAGGAAAAGAGTGACATGACGAAGTTATCACGCGTCATGTTCCTGTTGCTGTGCCACGTGACGTCGCTGGCGAAGCAACTCGTGTTCCTCACGGACGCCGACCGCATTGAGCGCATGGTCGCCGGTTTGGATGGTATCACTCCTTTTCCAAACACTACATGTTATTTTCTTTTACGACATTCTTGGTATGAGTATGAGTTATTATAACGCAACGGTCTATCCAGCCAGAGAGGACACCGATGTTGTTGTAATTATACTGTATACAATATGTGAAATTGAGAATATTCAGTATTTTAATGTATACCTAAAATATTTTTTAAATTGAGGCTCTACATAACGTTTCAATGAATAAGAATGTACTCCTTCAAATTGTAGGAACGGTCCATCTGTCGGTCATGAATAAGTAATATGTACATCTGCCACATCTAGGAACTTACTCGGCGGAACAGGAAATTTAACATGCGAGCCAGGCGTATCAATAGGACAAATAGGCGAATACATATGATTTTAGACGTTGTACATTGTGATGTACTGCTCTGTGAAGCACTAGCTCCGAGCACGGATGAGCCATTGTCGAGTGTGCTGCGTGTCGTTGGGCAGAGGCGGCACAGCGGGCACTGCGTACTCGTTCGGGCGCGGCGCGGCGGTTGCTCAACTGCGCGGCGGCGCACGCGGCGCGGTTGCGGCGCGGCTACGCGGGCTGCGCGGCGTTCACGTGCCTGCTGTGGGCAGTTTTCGCGGCGCAGGCGCACGCACGCCGGCAGCCCTTCGACTTTCCGCTTTGGATCGGTGTCGACACCACTGACACTATCGGGTGGAGCCAACTAATAATGTTCTAAATTAGCAAAAGGGAATAGCAATGCATACATATTCGTTTTTCTAAGGAATTCCAAAACTTTATTAAAAAAAAAAACAAAAAAAGAAAAAAAAATCTTTGGAGGGAAGTTGTCAAAATAAATAATATAACTACGATATTATTCGATCCATTGTACACGAGAATCAAAGGCAATTTTTTTTAATACATAGACTAGACTAATAGTTCACAGGACTAATCGAACGATGACGAATATGATTTGTTTATTTTTGCGAAAGCGACGAAGCGAATGCAGCGGGGAGTTTGAGCGAGCGAGGAATGGTGAGCTGTCTATGATTTAAGTTGACTTATTTAATTTTAGATTCGTGACAGTTCTGTTGTACACATACTACGTGACGACATTGGTTGGCGTCGCCAATACTACGATGGACGCTTTTATAGCGACAGTACTCTACCAGTGCAAGACGCAGCTCAGCATCCTCAGGTAACATTGTTTCCTTTTATTTTTATTCATTACTTCTTTGTCAATAATGAATGTACTGAAATGTTAATTTATTACGTTGATTAACATCCTAACATCTAATTTCATATAACATCTAATGCAAAGGAACCTACCTAACCTAGGAACCTACTTAAAAAAAAAAATAACATTTTAGTTTATCCAACGGGTCGTGCTATGTAGTTTTCAGTTTCTTTAATATTTAATTATATGATGTTCGTCTTTCTAGAATGAATTTAGAAAGGTTGCCGCAGAGCGCGAGCGCGCTGAGCGCGTCCAGTGGCCGGCGAAGAGATGTCGAGTTTGCGGCGCTCTTCGTGGACTGCTGGTTACAATATAAGAGGATTTGCGAGTAAGTTGTAAAGGCAACTAATAATATCGTCTTTCCCGGACACCCTGTGTATTGATTGTGTACGTTACGATGGTGTCATTCCATAGAACGGCTGGGCTGGTGCAAGACATCTTCGGCGGCGCCATCCTGGTGCAGTTCGGCATCGGCGGCTGGATCCTCTGCATGGCCGCTTACAAGATCATCAGTGTGAGTGTGGCCTGCTCTCGCTGTCCCGTTGTCTTTTACCCCCTGCCCTTCTCCCGCAACCCCACACCCCGCGCCTCGTGTCCCGTATAAACTAGAGCGCATTATGTTTCAGTTGGATTTCATCAGTATCGAGTTTGCGTCGATGATCCTTTTCATTCTTTGCATTCTCACGGAATTATTTCTCTACTGTTACTACGGCACCGAACTTACCGAAGAGGCAAGTATTGTCATAGGATGATTTATGTTTATTTCCCGAATCGAAAGCTGCCCGATGCGTTACCTAACTTTAATTCATAAAGGAGGCGATGCACAGAAAGAGGATATTTTCTCTTCCTAAGCTTCCCCTCATCCGCGAAATCCTTCCCCTTCCCATTATTCCCTTATAAGCAAAGGGTGGGAAGGGAACGTGGTCTAAAATTAGGCCCCTGACACGCACACTCATCACACAAAACGCGCTAGTCTAGTGGTCGTAGTATTATACCAGGCGAGCCGGTCAGTTCGGGCAATAGATGTTGTTGTTTTGCTCTTGTTGTGTGATCTTCACTGTTGTGTGTGAACTTAACAAATAGAGTGACGCATTAGCGCAGTATCGTTTATTGCCGTTTTATGCTATAAGACGAGCTTTGTGATGTGATGTCAGAGCGCGCTGCTGGTGGACGCGGCCTACGGCATGCGATGGGCGGGCGAGGGGCGCGCGGCGCGGCGCCTGCTGCTGCTGCTACTAGTGCGCGCGCACCGCCCGCTGCGCCTGGCCGCTGGCCGCGTCGTGCCGCTCTCGCTCGACACCTTCGTCAAGGTGCAACCCTGCCCGCCCCGCACGCACCCCTACAGCCTCGGCTTCCTCCTAATGTTACTTTTTAACCGTTCCCAGATTTTTAGTACTCGTTCTTTCTGTTCGATCGAAGAGGGATGTGTATTGAGAAGGCGAGGAGATTTGGGCTCTGCGCCCTATTCCAGTACCTCGATAAATGTCGCAGTTATACAAGGCAAGGTGAAGCGGGAATTTACTCGAGCGTGGCACTTAAACATAAGGGGGAATGTTGCACCGAGCCAAGTACTCCCACCATATATTGAACTGTATTGTTTTATTGTTATATTTATTGTTGTATTATCGTTTCAGATTCTGAAGTCGTCGTACACTTTTTACGCTGTTTTACGACAAACGAAATAATTTCGATCGCTGTAAATGTCAGGTTCGATGCAATTCTGTAATATTCGTCATCTATCAACTTTACATGTACCTTCGTAATATATAAATATATATATATATATATGTATATATATACAGGTAAACAAAAATATAAATTGCTTCATTACATAATCATATTTAATTGACACTTTACACGATAAAAGTATAAAACATAAAGGAAAACTTTCTTTAAGATTATTTAACACATTTTGATTATTTTGTCTTCATGACTGTTTATTGGCTTAAGAGAAAAGAAATCAGACGACGATGACGAGAAGAAAATACAAGTTCTGTGATCTAGGCGAAGCCGGGTCTGATAGCTATATGTTAGTAAGACAGTACAATAGGATAACAAACAATATAGTATCGTATGATCTTTGATAAGAAGTCAGATAATAATATAAGCGAAAGCGAAACGCGAAAAAAGAAAACAATCACACGAGTAGTCAATTGTTTATTAAAAAGAGTACTTCGGTCAGTCGTGAGGGAACAACTCTGTGGTGCTTACGCAAATACAACACAGTTGACGTTGAGTGGCGGCGGGCGGCGGGCGGCGGGCGGCGGCACTCAAGGCGCGGTAGTGGGCATGCGCACACGCAGCGTGCCGGGGGAAAGCCTGTAACATATGGTCGCTCTCAGTGCCGCCCAGGCCACACTCGCTCTGGCTGTTCTCGCCCGGGCTGCTCTCACTCGGGCGGGGGCTACTTTAGGTTTGGTCTAAATGTGTATGTTACCATGCGGAAAAAAAATAGTAAACTTCACCGTGTATTCGTTTTTCTAAATCGGATTAAGTAATGAAATAAATGGAGGCACTATTCGACTACCTATACTATTCTGCGATCGTTACACTATCATGCAAGACGCAGGTCGTTGCTGCAACTTTTCGTGAGTACAAAATCGTCACGCTTGAAAGCCATGCCGGAAGGGGGAGGATTGCGTGCTCGGGGGCGCGGGGAGATCTAATACTCTATTACCCCAGCTAGTAAATTTTACTACCGTCTATCTCCTTAGAAACGGTGGCTTGGTTGGAAAAAAGGAAAGTTTTGTATATAATTCAAATTCACTCATACTGTACCTAGCAGTTATAGGAAACTCAAAACATTCTTATTTTATAAAAAATTGTGAACGTAATATGAACTCATATTTTTCATGATACAATAAAATGTAGAACATACTGAAAAAAAAATATAAGCGCCTTGTTAAGGGACACGAAACACTATCCGACTGTTAGCAGACTGCGAAGGGGGAGGGGAGTCGGGATTCCGGTAGCGACGATTGAGAGGCGCTCACCTGGCCGTAGCGGCCGGTGCAGGGTCGCGTCGCCGAGCGCCTCCGGTCCCGCGCGTGCCTCGCCGCGTGCCCCGCCGCGTACCACGCCGCTCCGTCGAGCCCCAGTCGGTAGCCGGCAACGTGTCTGTAAAGTGTACGATGATTGAGTCATTCCGCGCGTAGGTGACCAGTGCGCAAGGGGTTCCCGTTACCTACCAGCTAGGTGCACAGAGGGCACGCGGTACAGTTCTGCGGCGCAAGCGGCGCACGGCGAGCCGCTCGAATCCGACCCGCTGCAGTAATCTACACCGCACAAGGTCGTCATGTAGTGTGACTGTGTATGTCGCTGAGAAACACTCAAGTTGCAATGGCAAAGTACTAGCTAGTAACAAGTTGCAAGCCCCGTGACCTGGTGCGTGCGCGCGGTGCGGGTGCGGGCGCGGCGGCGCGGCGAGCGGTACGGCTAGCGGCGCGGCGAGCGGCTCAGCAAGCGGGGGCGCGTGCAGGCGCAGCTCGCAGCCGCGTGCCGCGCTCGTGCTGGATGACGCCATACTGAACGTCGCGTATGGACTGATCTCCTGCAGATCATCTGCAACTAACACTGAATTATTCTTGTTTATTTTGTTCACCGTAAAATGTATACCTAATTTAATATTTATATGAGATTTTGACGCTTTTTGTTGTCGACCGTTATAAGAAATTCTGATTCATCTTGAATCAAAATCATCCGTTTAAACAAATAACGTTTCACCGCTCGGCCTGTGATGAAGCAATGTCCATTGGTTTATATCGAGCGTGCCCCTCTAGATGATAGCGATGATTTTATCTTGTGTTTAAACTTCTCGGCCAGCCCGTTGGAACCTCGAAATAAACTTTTAGACTTATGTCAAATCTTTTTAAGCGAGCGATCAAAAGCTTTGTGGGCGTTGATTGACCGTTGATGTATAAAGATCATTCGCTTTTTTAGGAAAAAATTGTAAATATAAGAGTTTCGACTGAAATTGGCCCAAAAATGGAATTCAATCTCAACAAAGGAACTATTTGTATGAATTTATCTATAATATGTATGTAGGCATTACCGTCAGGGATCGGCAGCTTCTTGATGTCGGAGTGAGGTTGAGGCGCGGGGCGGCGGCGGCGGCGCGCGGCGGCCAGTGCGGCGCCGGCCAGCAGCGCCAGCGCGACGCCGCACAGCCCCGCCGCCGCCGCCCCGCGCCCCGCTCCCACCGCCGCGCCGCCCGCCGCGCCGCCCGCTCCGCCCGCACGTATCGACACCTCGCTCGGAGATCCGATCCGTTCTTGTTTTGTTTCAAATAATTCAAATTTTGTTATTAAGCCAAGCGCAAAATGAATACGTCACGTGCGGCTCAAGGCCTAATTATTAGTTACTTAATTCTTGTTAAGAATTACCTCCATTTGGTGTGAGAGTCGCCGCTATGTAGACAGCGGTTGTTTCTCCGGCCTCCGAAAACGCGCTCACTCGAATTTCATACCAAGTTCCCGGTTCTAAGTTAGTTGCCTGTAGATATATACATAGAAATATACAACAACCAATTTACTCACGCCTGTAAGCCAGAAGGGTCGGCAGATATCACGGACTTTCATTTGGCGTATAGATATAACAATACCCATACAGACATAATGCGCCTTTTATTTTATAATTTTATCTACCTTCGATGGCGGAGTTAATGCAAGTTACGAAAAAAAAAAAACTTAGGCGTGTACCGTAGCTGTCTCCCCGTCAGTGGCGAGGTCGGCGGCCAGCGACCAGCGCTTCGCCGCACAGACTTCGTCGCCGCCGCCCCACGCCACCAGGTTCAGCCGCAGCGCGCTGCTGTTCGCCCAGATGAAATCTTTTCCCAATGGAGCTTTCAATTCTGCCGCAAAATTCACACTACTTTACCGAAACCGATGTGAACCACAATCAAATAGTTCTACATTAAAAGTGATAACTACAAACCGACATAAAAATCGTCGTGAGGAAAACAGAAAGTGGTACCGACTGTCGCCTTTGGTCCGTAGTGTGAGGGTGTGGGAGGGCGGCGAGGCGCCGAGCGCGTTGTGCGCGTGCAGCCACACGGCGTAGCGCGCGCCGCACGCCAGCCCGCGCAGCGCCACCTGGCGGCGCGCCGTGCACGTGCTGTGCGCCTCTCCGGCCGCCTGCTCGCCCGCCAGCCCGCCAGCCACGTCATCCCGCGACCGGCGCCACCATACGCTGTAACCTACGAGAACATTTTACTTATTTTTTTTATTTTTCAATTCCAATGAATAGCTTACACATAGGCTATATTTTTATGTTTAATTTGTACAAAAGTTGTAACTTAAATGAGAGATCTAAGAGATCTAGGCGACAGATTTTTCTGTTTGGTATATACCCATATAAACGATGAAAATGCAATTTTTCCATTAAGTGTTTATGTAAATCAAAGATGGCTGCCACCACAAGATGGCGGTTGCTATATTTTCGTACAGCTACCTGAACATATGTAAATATCAAAAGAAACGGCTTGACTAGTACAGTACCACGTTTAAGTGCTATTTGAATAATTTACTATCAACTTAAGATAGGAATTGACTTAATTATTTTTACTAATACTCGTTCACCTGTTGTCCTATGACATATGGGAAAAGAATAAAACATGATCTTGACTTGCTTTAACAATCCCCGGAACGAATTTCGGTATTTGATAAAGTAAGGATTGACGAATACCGAGCACTGGATCTCTAGTGCGTGGCGGCTCGTCCCAGGCGAGATGCAGCTCGTGCCTGTCGGCGCGCAGCAGGAGCGGCACGGGCGCGGCGGGCGGCCGGCGCAGCACCACGGCCAGCAAGGCGCGGTCTGCTCCCGCTGCGTTGCGCACGGTGCATGTGTAGTTGCCCTCAGACTCCACCTCTACATCATAAATCAGTTTAGTAAACATACACGTATGTAACCAAATACTATACATGTATGTATGTACAGTCAGCGTCATATAGATCGTCACAGACAAGATATGCAAATATATAGGTACACCAAAAGTAATCAATTATATCGGTACAACAAAAGTCTTCAAAATAATAGATACATTCACCCTGCTCAAATA